AGTATTTTTTCTATTTCTTTGAAATATGGCATTGAAATTTTTATAGGATAGCATTGAAATTATAAATTGCTTTTGGTAGGATGACCATTTTAATGATGTTCTTGCAATCCATGAGCAAGTGATCTCTTTCCATTTCTTTCTTTTTTCTTCTATTTCTTTTAACAATGCTTTATAATTTTCTTTGTAGAGGTCCTTCACCTCTTTTGTTAGGTTTATTACCAAATATTTGATCTCTTTTGTTTCAGTTATAAAGGGAATGGTTTTCCTGATTTCTTCTTCTTCAGAGTGATTGTGTATAGGAAGGCTATTGATTTTTATGTGTTGATTTTGTATCCTGCTACTTTACTAAACTGGTTTATTATTTTGATAAGTTTTTAATGTGGAGTTTTTGTCATGTCATTTGAAACAGTGATTGTTTTACTTCTTATTTCCCTATTTGGATTCCTTGTATGCCTTTTTGTTTTCTCTCTCTCTCTCTCTCTCTCTCTCTCTCTCTCTCTCTCTCTCTCTTTTATTTTCATTGCTCTAGCTGGGGCCTCCAGTAGTGTATTGAAAGGCAGTGGTGAGAGTGGACATCCTTGTCTTGTTCCTGACCTTAAGAGAAAGGATTTCAGCTTTTCACCATTGAGAATGACATAGATTATGGGTTTATCAGATATGGCCTTTATTATTTTAAGGTATGTTCTTTCAATCCCAAGAGTTTCATGTACCTTTGTCATGAATGGATGCTGGACTTTGTAAAATGCTTTCTCTGCATCTACTGATAAGGTTATATTGTTTTTATTTTTATTTTTGTTGATGTGTTGGATTACATTAGTTGATTTTCGAATGTTGAGCCATCCTTGTGCCCCTGGGATACATCCCACTTGCTCATGGTGGATTCTTTTTGTGATGCATTTTTGAATTCTATTAGCTAGGGTTTTATTTAGGATTTTTGCATCAGTGTTCATTAGAGAGACTGGCCTGTAGTTTTCTTTTTTTTGTGTTGTCCTTGTTTGGTTTTGGTATTAGTGTGATGTTGGCTTCATAAAACGTGGTTGGTAGTATTTCTTCTTTCTCAATTTTTTGGAAGATCTTGTGTAGGACAGGCATTAGTTCATTTCTGAACGTTTGGTAAAATTAATTTGTAAAACTGTCTGGTCCTGGGCTTTTGTTTTTTGGGAGAAATTTGATTACTGGATCAATTTCACTGCTTACAATTGGCCTGTTTAGGGGTTCTATTTCTTCTCTATTGAGACCTGAGTGATTGTAAAGTTGTAGGAATTTGTCCATCTCTTCTAGATTGTTGAACTTGTTAGCATATAACTTTTCATAGTAATCTTTTACTATTGTTTCGATTTCTGCTCTCTGTGTGATTTCTCCTCTTTC